CGCCTGCTCCTCGTCCTCGCGCTCCAGCCACATGGCCGGGTTGCTGTCGGGGTCACAGTCACTTGCCTTTGGTCTTTCGGTTGGGGTGGCTTGCGAGTAGAAGTCCAGGCCGTTGCAGTTCGCCTCCTCCTCCTCCTCTTGGCCTCGGAAGTTCAGTCTCTGAAGGTCTCTCAACTCTGGGTTGGTCCACGGAAAGCTGCCTTGGTGGCCGTTCACGGGGTTGCTCTGGAAGAACTCCAGGTACTCTTTTGCTCTGAGATGGTTCCTCTGATCAATTTGATCTACTGTATCCATCTGGTCATTTTTGGCCAGAATCTTCCTCTCCAGGAGATCCGTGCAGACATCCCTGACGGCCGGGATCTCCAGCAGCGTGGCGGCGTTGAGGATGTCGTTGACGTTGGAAGTGCTGACGGTGAGGGTGGCGGTGTAGGCGAACTCCAGCAGCGCCGACAGCGCGTCCGCACTCACAAAGTCTATCTCATACACGTTCTGCTGGTCCACCACTAACCCTGAGGTGAAGAGCTTCTTGAAGTACTGGCTGCACGCCGCCAGGACGGAGCGGTGGGTGGGGAACTCCTGGCCTTCCACCAGGATGACCACGTCGCACAGCAGCCCATTGTTCCTCTGCTCATTCAGGCTGCTGAGGATGTCGCTGCTGTGATCCGGGAACGGGATCCCTATGGGGCCGTCCACGCCACCCGCCATCTTCCGGGCTAAAGGCTGCGGGGAAGGAGGGCAAGGCCGTGAGTCAGAGCGTGGAGACATCGGGAGAATCCCCAAATTCCTCAGGGACGCACCTGGCAGGGTGTCCCCGGGCCTCTCCCACCGTCCTGCCCGGCCTGTGCTTACCTGGCGAGGAGGAGGAGGAGGAGGAGGAGGAGGAACAGAGGCCAGGTGCTCTCGAGTGAGAACAGCTGAATTAGCACGGATCCGGGCCAGAGCAGCAAGCCTTGGCAGGGAGCTGGCATCACCCAGCCAGGCAGCACCTGGAGCAGGCACAGCTGTGCCCAGCGTGGGGCTACGGCCCCCTGAGCTCCCCAGGGCACCCCAGTCCTGCTCTGGGAGCATCTACCAGCCCCATCCCTGCTGGAAGGTCCCCGGCTCAGTGATGCCACCACTGGGACACCATTCCCATCACTGATCCCACAGCACCCCTGGAGGCACTGGGCAGGGAATTTCGAGGGGAGCCCCGGGCTGCCCACGCTGATGCTGCTGCAGGTGTTTGACAGAGCAGAGCTGATCCCTGGAGGCTGAGGCACCTCCTGCTCCTTCCTGGAGCAGGAGACAGGAAAGGACACCGGCATCACCAAGTGCCAGCACCAAACCCAGATCCTGCACAGGTTCCAGCAGCTCTTCCCAATGCCAAGGGTTTGTTTGGGACAAGATAAATAAATAAAGTCACTCCTGACACATCCACTTGACTCCAAAGGCTGGAAAAACCCAGCCTTTGCTGGGAAATGGGCACCGGGGCCTGACTGCGAGCCTGAGCAGTCCCTAATTCTCCCACAATCCCAGAAATTAAGAATAACATTTCCCTCCTGTCCATCTCAAGCAGCAAATCCACACGCTCCCTGAAGCAGCGATTTGCTGGAAAATCAATGTAATTCCCCCATCCCAAGCACTGGGATCAGCAGGAGCCAAGAAATCCACACACAAACCAGTCCAAAATTCACCCCAACACAAGGCTGGGGCTTCTGATTTCCAGCTGGGGAAACTGAGGCACGGCGGGACGTGGCTGTCCCAGGCCATGGGGGGACGGATGAGTCAGGATGGACCCAGAACAGCAATAATGATCCAGGAAGCAGCTCCCAGCCCCGGGTCCCAGCACGGAGCAGGAGCCCAGGTTGCACAACTCCGGCTTCCCCCACCCACCCCCGGCCTCCTCAGTAGTTTTCCATATTTACTTATTTTTGAAACGTTTTGTTTAGCCCAGAAAATAAGTTTAACTTTGGCACCTTCCTGTTTCACACAGAGAAGAGGCAGGAGAAGGCAGGTCTGGGGCTGTGGAGAAGGGATCTGGAGCAATCCCTGGGTGACCAAGAGCAGGAGGACACCAGGATTGGGCTCCCAGCAGGAATGGGATGGGGTGAGGAGGAGGAGGGAGGGCCTGGGGGGCTGGATGGGCAGGGCAGGCACCAGCCCTGCCACCAACACCAAGCACCAAAGCCAGGTGGCCTCCTGAGATCGACTCCAGAGCCACCTCCTGAGCTCCAGGCTTTGACCTTTACACCTTCATTTCGTGGATTTTTTATAGCAGGGAGGAAAGGGCTGTTTGGTGGCACCATT